AGAAGCTACCACCTAAACCACAAGGGAATTATGTACTGATATTACGAGTACAAGAAAATCATCCGAAAAAGCTTATAACCACAAGGAGATTAAGTGTTATTTTTCCCTTTATTAAACAATATTTTAATCTCCGACCCACCAACTGTGAATAAATGTGTCATATTAGTGAAACAATTGTTTAATTAAATTCGTCTTGTCACATTTACATCTTACCGAGTCATTAAAGAACAAATTTGATAAGGTCAAACACAAGTAGCAGGATAAACAATTAATTGGGGGGGGGGGGGGGGGGTGTGTGTGTGTGTGTGTGTGTGTGTTAAATAATGTCTTCTCATATAAATTCATATGTGATTTGCACCATTTTTTGGTCAATACTCAAAAAAAGAAAATGCGTATAGTATTTTGAGATAATTTTTTAATCTAACTTGAATCGGCTGATAAATTTCATCTGAGAAAAATATGCATGACCGGATGCACGTTGGTTACCACTTTAATGTTTTGAAACTCAGAGATTCAGCCTGAAATTCATTCATGTGTCACTGTCTGAGATAGTAATTTAGCAGTCAATACAGTAATATTCGTTAAAATATTTTTTTCTAAGAAAAAAAAACATAAAAAAAAGTCAACGTCGAAGACTGGTGGTTGACCGGCCGGAAAAAAATTTTAGAAAAAAAAAATTTCAAAAAAAAAAAATCAACGCCGGAGACCGGCGGTCTCCGACCGTCGACGCCGGAATCTGGCCGGAAAAAATAAATTCAGAAAAAAAAATATTTTTCAAAAAATTATTATTTTGGTGGTTAATGTGATATGTTTGTTTAAATCCGGGGTCAATGTGTAATATTAAGGAAGTTAGAGCATAATGGATTGAATTGATAAGAATTATGTTATGGGGGTATTTTAGACTAAATACATGGGTGTGTGTGTGTGTGTTAAATAATGTCTTCTCATATAAATTCATATGTGATTTGCACCATTTTTTGGTCAATACTCAAAAAAAGAAAATGTGTATAGTATTTTGAGATAATTTTTTAGTCTAACTTGAATCGGCTAATAAATTTCATCTGAGAAAAATATGCATGACCTGATGCACGTTGGTTACCACTTTAATGTTTTGAAACTCAGAGATTCAGCCTGAAATTCATTCATGTGTCACTGTCTGAGATAGTAATTTAGCAGTCAATACAGTAATATTCGTTAAAATATTTTTTTCTAAGAAAAAAAAAACATAAAAAAAAAAGTCAACGTCGAAGACTGGTGGTTGACCGGCCGGAAAAAAATTTTAGAAAAAAAAAATTTCAAAAAAAAAAAAAATCAACGCCGGAGACCGGCGGTCTCCGACCGTCGACGCCGGAATCTGGCCGGAAAAAATAAATTCAGAAAAAAAAAATATTTTTCAAAAAATTATTATTTTGGTGGTTAATGTGATATGTTTGTTTAAATCCGGGGTCAATGTGTAATATTAAGGAAGTTAGAGCATAATGGATTGAATTGATAAGAATTATGTTATGGGGGTATTTTAGACTAAATACATGGGTGTGTGTGTGTGTGTGTTAAATAATGTCTTCTCATATAAATTCATATGTGATTTGCACCATTTTTTGGTCAATACTCAAAAAAAGAAAATGTGTATAGTATTTTGAGATAATTTTTTAGTCTAACTTGAATCGGCTAATAAATTTCATCTGAGAAAAATATGCATGACCTGATGCACGTTGGTTACCACTTTAATGTTTTGAAACTCAGAGATTCAGCCTGAAATTCATTCATGGTTCACTGTCTGAGATAGTAATTTAGCAGTCAATACAGTAATATTCGTTAAAATATTTTTTTCTAAGAAAAAAAAAACATAAAAAAAAAAGTCAACGTCGAAGACTGGTGGTTGACCGGCCGGAAAAAAATTTTAGAAAAAAAAAATTTCAAAAAAAAAAAAATCAACGCCGGAGACCGGCGGTCTCCGACCGTCGACGCCGGAATCTGGCCGGAAAAAATAAATTCAGAAAAAAAAATATTTTTCAAAAAATTATTATTTTGGTGGTTAATGTGATATGTTTGTTTAAATCCGGGGTCAATGTGTAATATTAAGGAAGTTAGAGCATAATGGATTGAATTGATAAGAATTATATTATGGGGGTATTTTAGACTAAATACATGGGGATGAGTTTATTTGAAAGACTGTTCTTTTTTTGTGGACCAATGTGCATTTAAGTCCCTTGTGATGGGCTTTTTTGCCATTCACCCTATTAATTAAAATAACTTTTTCTAAGAAAAAACAAAATTTCAAAAAAAAGAAATCGAAAAAAAAGTCAACGCCGAGGTTGACTTGCCGGAAAAAAATTTTAGAAAAAAAATTTTCAAAGAAAAAAAAAAGAAATCAAAGCCGGAATCTGGGCGGAAAAAAATTTCAGAAAAAAAATTATTTTCTGAAAAAAAAATATTTTTTCAAAAAATTATTAAAATGGGGGTTAATGTGATATATTTGTTTAAATCCGGGGTCAATGTGTAATATTAAGGAAGTTAAATCATAATGGATGAAATTGATAATAATTATATTATTGAGGGTATCATAGACTAAAGACATGCGGATGAGTTTATTTGAACGACTACTATGTTTGTGGACCAAATATGCATTTAAATCGTTTGTCATGCCCCTTTTGCGATTAGCCCTTATATTTAATATAATAATTAATAAATATATATTATATATATAAATAATGGGGCGGGTACGAAAGCGAGTACGGGGCGGGTATAGGAAAACCCGTCCCTGTACCCGTACCAAGTCAAAAAAAAAAAAATCAATCCCTATACTCGCCCCAATTTTTTGGATCGCATGTAATACCCAAAAATTTCGGGCAAGTCGTCCGAGTCGGGGCGGGGATCCATCAGGCCGGGTCAAATTGCCATCCCTGATGTCTACACGGTTGAATTATTTTGGGTTGATTGATCAGATTTCATAAAGACAAAGCTGAAACTTCTTATACGATCGCTCGATTTGAGTTGCAGCGGCATTCGTACTTTGACAGAGGATATATGGGTGTTGAAAGAACTCAGGTACCTTAATCTCTCTTATACACTCATTGAAATGTTACCAGACTCGGTGACTCATCTTTCAGAGTACGAACTCTGGATCTGTCGTGGCGCTATCATCTCAATTCCTTACCCGAGAGGGAATGCAGAAGCTGAGGCACATGAGACATTTGGATTTGTACCGGTGCGAGTCTTTGTCATATTTGCCATATGGAATTGGCTCCCTTATAAGACTTACTTCACTTCCACTATTTGTTTTGAGTAATATTAACAATAAGGAGGGCGATTGTGCATCCTTACGAGATCTTCGGACTTTAGGCGATCTCAAAGGCAGATTAGATCAGAAATCTGGAGAATGTAACGGATTTTAGAGAAGCCGAGGATGCAATGCTGCGTGATAAACATCTCGACCACTTGGGATTGTCTTGGAGTAGTTACCGTGGTTGTCGGGAAAACGGTGATGGTAATTGTTTTGAAATATTGCAACTCTTGGAGCCATAAGAAACTCAGAGTTGTCGAGTTAACCGGCTATACGGGCTTGAATGGGTGACCGCTGCCGATTTCCGAGGCTCGAAACCGTGACCACTTGAAGATTGTCCTAAACTTGAAAGTTTACCATCATTTCTTTCGATCCCGAGACACTTGATAATTTGCGAAACCAATAGCACCCTGCTCCTCAATTCTTCTATCCACAACCACTTTGGCTCCTCTGCCAAACATTCCTCGATTGTTATCAAATATATGAAACTCGGCATTTCTTTGCAGGACTTGATCGGTCAGTCGACATCAGTCAAAATAGTCAATCTATACAACATCGATGATGAATGTATTCACCATCATTCAGATAAGGAGGAAGCTGTACCCGCTCGCCTTAAACGCTTGGCTATTTTCCACTGTCATCATCAGCTCAACAACATAGTTGGCATGGTTCTAAATACGTTCAAAAAAATTTCAAAAAAAAAAAAAAAAAAATCAATGTTGGAATCTGGCCGGAAAAAAAATTTATTTTCTAAAAAGAAAATTCAAAAAATTATGAAAATCGTGGTTAATGTGATATATTTGTTCAAATCCGAGGTCAATGTGCAATATTGATGAAGTTAGAGTATAATTGATGGAATTGATAAAAATTATATAATGATGCTTGGGATGAGTTTATTTGCGAGACTATTTTTTGTCTGAATCTATGTGCATTTAAGCCCCTTGTCATGGGCTTATTTCCATTTCCCCTACTTTTTGAATTTACTTATTGTAGAAGTTTAATTAAAAAAAACTCATAATTTTAAGGGTTAACTGCGAAAAATCCCCTAAACTTTGGACGTTTTTGCACTTCATCCCTGAATAGAAAAGGGTGGCACGAGTGTACCTGAACTCCATTTTTCTAAGCACGGGCGTCCAAAATGTCCATTTTTGGCCAAAATTGACCGGAATTCAAATCACGTGCCTAACACGTGAATATAGCTGGGTAAATTTGTATTTTCCTTTGACACCCATTTTCTTCATTTGTTTTTTAATAAATATAAATAATAAAAAAAAAAGAAAAAAAAGGGAAAATTGAATACCCATCATCTTCGTCGAGCACGACAGACACACCACCGCACACAAATCAAATCAGACAACTTGTGATCCGACGCCGCACCACCACCACCGAACCAATTTGAATCCATCCATCCCCCCATATCTGCGAGTTCGATCTCGAATATATGCTATTTCAATCCATCACAAGGCAAGAGATTGGGGTTTGAATCAGAGTTTTGAGTTTTTGGAATAAAAGCTTAATCAACAATTGAAGTCCACTAAGCTACTAATTTTTCTCTATCTATCTATTTATCTTATGTGGGTAACCCTCCTCTAGATATCCTTGCTTCCTTTTCTTTTTGTCTTCCTTTATCATTTCGTTTCTTTTTATGTTCATGATTCATTGTGATATCAGTCATCTGGATAATTAAAAACTCATGCAGTTTTTTTAAGCCAAACAACTCATGCACTTGACCTGTTTGATGAAATTCCTCACAATTTTTTTTTTAAAACATATATACCTTTTGTGTCTTGTCTTCTGGAGACAACTAATAAGGATTCGTTCATTATATTGTAGTGAATGGATGATGGTCCAGAGATACTTGAGCCTGCAAGTTTCCTGCAAACTCTGCCCCCAATTGAGTTTGCCTGCATATATGGCTCCTCCCTCCATCCTAACAATTTTAACAAGGTCCCATTTTTTTTTTTCTTTTTTACTTTCTTCTTTGCTTGAGCCTATACTTTGTAGCAGTCGAATATTTTTTTTTCAAATTTCGCGCTTTCTCATTCACTTGGATGATTTGTTTTGGTTTAATTTATCCAGACATCCATGATAGATTACATTCTTGGCGTGTCAGATCCCCAGCAATGGCACACTCAGGTATTTGTTTCATCTTCTTCTACACTTTCAGTGGTGTTATGAATGTGGATTAGAAACTGATAGATGATTTGGCCTTTTGTGATCAAGAAAGAATCTGAAGACGAACCGGAATCATTACGCATCATGGATGGTCCACCTTGGCGGACCGCGGCTGGTGCTACTTCAAATCTCCTCCTCTCATTCTGGATTTTCAGTTTATTTTACAATGATATGAATTTGAATTTTTGTTTTGGTAGATTACTGAGGTAGCAGATTACATCGGTGTTGGTGTACACTTCAATCCATTTGTTTCTCACAAGGATCGGGTAGTTATTTTATCATGATTGTTGTTATGATGTTTTGTGAAGATGTCTAGGTTTATTACATATATCTAGTTGCTCTATATATTAGAATATGACATGAGATACTCCTCCATCCAGATGTTCAAGTACGGGGTTGTTCGAATGCATGATCTTGTTCAGGACATTCTGGGATGGGAGAGGTTCTACATGAGTGGCCGTTTGCAGAAACCAGTATGTCTTGCTTTTATATTTGTCTCCTCTGAATTCATTTCATTTGTTAGCAGTCTGTCATATTGTAATGTGTGCAAAACCAGCTCTATCAACTCTACAATGAAATCAATTTCTTTATGCATGTTTTTACTGTAGTTCTCCTACATTCGTCTGAGTTCATATCTTAGAATTGCTTTTCATTGACAGTTTAATAACAAAAATACGTAACCTTTCACACTTGAGTCTTACTTTCTGCCGTTAATTTTATCATGTTTTTATTTTAATGGTTCAGGTTAAAGTCATAATAGATAACTTGGAGATAGAAAAACTCAATTCTGTAAATCTGAAGGCTGCAACCTCCGCCGCTCTCCTTCTTTTGCCGTCAAAGTTCAGTGAGGTTTGGTTCTTTTCAGTTGCCGTAATCATTTGAACTTGAAATTTATAACAAGTAAAATCAGATTTGATGTAATTTCAGGAAGAGTTATATGCCAAAATATGTAGCCTCTCATACATGGGTGATCTTCGTATGCTTTTTGCAGAGGATAAAAATAAGGTAACTATAATTGAAGCTCAAGCGGGAAATTTGGAACGAGTCATTATATGATAGCATATTGAGACTTGAGATAAATCTGCTTCTTTTCTTTCTGCTCGTCTCCACTACATATTAGAAAGTAGAATGATATATATGATCCAGTTCCATAAATTGTTAAATATCAACACAATTCTGTACTAGTTTCTTGACATGCTAGCACTAACTTCTTTATGTTAAGTTTCCCAGGTGAAAAAGATTGTGCAAGGGCAATTTAAGTTATTTCAAACGATGTACAAACCGCTTTTAGAAGACTTTGCAGCCAGGGACTTATTAAGACTATCGCCTTTTATTGATCAAAAAGTAAACATAATTCAGGTTGGTCCAAATTTTCAAGCTTTAAGTGTTAAATTCTTTATTGGGCTCTCTTCATTATTTCTATGATATATTGGTTACCCATATTGATAATTTCAATGAATTAGTAAATTAAGAAACGGTTTTTACCTAATGACGAGCTTGATTTGTCAAATCAGGATTGTGGGTTGTCTAGCACTTGTTCCCTTGTGTCTTCCCTTCCTTTGCCACTCAGAAGCAAGATGGGAATCAAGCTCGGAGAGGAGAAAATGTTTGATGAATCTGGTATGATCTACGAGTTATTTGCTACGTTTTATTTTGGAATAAAAAACTTTAATTAGTAGTATTGTTCCAAGGTTTTAACATTTGCTTAGCTACGTACGCTGGTTGGTAATGTAATTCCTATAGGCTGAGATTCTTGATACAGCTGATCACAGCCAACAGGTTAACATTTCTATTGAATGCATTGTCATACAGGTCGAGCTATACGAAAAATGGTAATAAAATCAAAGGAAGAGGGTGCAGATTGCATGCGGAAGATTCTGAGAAACAAAGTAATGATTTCCAGTGCAAGACAAGCTGTTGCGGGTCTACTGACCGCCGGTGCAGTGCATGGATTAAGATACGTTGGAAATAAAATGCATAAGGCATGGAAATCGTGGTGGTGGTAATCCTTTTCTTCTTCTTTTTTTTTTTTTTTTTTTTTTTTTGCTTGTGTTCTATGCAACTGGTTTTCCGGAGAATCAAGAAAGTTGTAAAGACGGAAGACTGTATTTTTGTTCTTCAATCAGTGGCAGACATTATAATTCTATTTTTGAAATTATTTACCGTATATCTGAAACCACTTAATCTCACTTGTTTTAAGATGCACTGATTTCAATAAAAGTCCATTTTGTCTGTATTGAAATGAAAAAATCTAGTGTATAATTTGCATCAATGGGACAGCCGCCCACATAGCTGACTTCCTTGGATTGATCAATTGTCTATTCTACAAGAAAAGTAAATGCAAGCCCCCCACAGCAATAATTAATGCTTACCTGAGAGTCGAATTAGGAGATCTCGCCGCATTTATTACAGCAGGTAATATACTTCTCGAATCCATTGTCGGAACCCTTTTGGACCGCCACCCCAACTCGTTACGTATACATACAAATCTCACCAATGGATTCAACTTATTGGATCCGATTGCTGTTGGGGTTCTCCTAATTGCAATGACGAGTGGTGATTATATTTGTAATAATAGCAGGTTTTGCCCATGCAAAGAGACCTCCAACTTAAAACCCTTTATGCCTTATGGTCCAGAAGGGGTCTTCCAAGCAGCAGCAATCGTCTACTTCGCCTATGGAGGATTCGACAATATTGCTAGGATCGATGTCGATGTTCACGTTTCCGACGAACTGAGACACATCGTCAAATTTCGGGGTGTGATTGAGCGGCTGACAAAGACGCAGATAGGCCTCGAATATTACGAAGCCATTTTTTCTTATATTCGTGACATTATTTTTTTCTCACAATTTGCTTTGGTTGATTTCGTTTTCCAGACCTGTTTTGTTTCTTTGAATTAAATGTGTTATTACTGTTTTGATTCTTGTAGAAATTGTGCGACGGGTTTCGCTGAGAAATTTGGGCAGGGGATGGATTGTGTCCGGAAAGCAGGATTATACAGGTTCAGATTTCTATTGATGGACTGTTGCTGGTGTATTGAAATATGACGTCGCTTATATTTTATAGATTCTAAATTGAGTCACAAATTTGCACAAAATTTAGTTATGCATTTCGAGTACTGGTATAACCGCAAAATTTGTAGGTAACTGGGGACTCCTATACAGATTGTGGGAGGTTAAAATATATTTTGTTTTCAGACTTTTGTCTCTTTAGATTTATTTCCTTTTTCACTAGACAAATTTTGTTTTACTAATGGAGCGTAAGTTTGAAGGTGATATGCCTATTGGCCCAGCCCAATAGACCCATATTTACTGGGCCACAGGCCCAACTTAATAGCTATTTATACGAAGGCCCAATCACATCCAAAGAAAGTTGGGCCTGATAAATTGATCTCGGCCCAATTAATAAACTATAAATACAACTTAAATTCATTTAATAAAGGTACGTTATTATTATTCCCTCAATTCTTCTATTCGAATTCTCTCCTCATTTTACCCACTATCTCCACGTCTGACTTGAGCGTCGGAGGGGTTTCCGCCGGATCAACCCCCGGCTTAGATTACGTGTTTTCTGTTCGCAGGATCCTAGAGTAAATTAAAGTTCTCAGGACTATCTAGCTCGTGAGCACGTGACCTACTTTGCTCTCCCAGCTTCAACACACTAGGTGATTTATTTTTTACGTCATCATTTTGGCGCCGTCTGTGGGAATGCAGACCAGATCACGTAGCCAGCAAGATCCTCCTGAGTCCACTCGGAGAGAGAATGACACAGCTAACAACCTCCCAGTTCGGGGAGGCTCTGGCTTGCCACCTCCTCCACGTGCTCCGGATCCACCACGCGAGGTTCAGGTGATCCCCCCTCGGGACCCACCACTCGCCGATCCTCCACTACAGGCTCCACCTCTACCTGCTTCTCGAACGGTTCAAATAACCGAGGAGGCACTCCAACGGATGATAACAGAAGTTTCTACTCGCGCCGCCACTGATGCGGTGGCACAATACATCGCCACGATGGCAGCAAACGCTCCCCCTGCGATCCCAGCAAACGCTCCACCCGCGATCCCAGCTAATGCTCCACCCGCAATGCCACCCAGGGTACAGCAACCAGCCCATAACAATGACGATCGGATAAGTGTATCCTCATCCACCTCAGATCCAAGATCCCGGATGCAGCTATCTACCAATCACAGGGAGCCACAACCCAGACAACAACGCCACCATTCACTCCAACGGGGTGATGCATCTCTACGAAGAGCTCATATCTTTAATGAAGGGGAAGACGAGATAAATAGTAGAGTATCTCGCCAAAACCAGTTCCCCAGATTGAACAACCCTATTGACGGAAGAGCGCCAGTCCCAACAAGGCGCAGTCCTTTCACCTTGAACATCCTCAACGAGGTATTGCCTCAAGGAGTTAAAGTATCAGGCTTACCTCAATTCGAAGGAACTACCGACCCGCAGGAACACATAGAGAAGTTCCACGCTATGGCAGATTTATATGGCCCAACAGATGCAGCAATGTGCAAGATGTTCCGCACCACTCTTTCCAAGAGAGCCATGAATTGGTTCAATGCTTTGCCCACAGGATCAATTGACACTTTCGCTCAGTTATCATTGCGCTTCACCAACCAATTCGCCATCAATAAGCAATATGCTAAAACTCCAGCACATCTCTTCTCTATTGTACAGAGAGACAATGAAACACTCCGCAACTACATCAGGCGTTTCGTAGAGGCTGTTCATGAAGTTCCTAGTGTAGGACAAGATATGCTCTCAGGGATTATGCAACAAAACCTGAAGTCGGGTAGGTTCAAAGAATCTATCGCAGGAAGACCTCCTGGCAACTTAGATGAGCTGTTAAATCGAGCTGAAAAATATATACGCATAGAAGAAGCTTCTGCCAATGCTCCTCCCAAGAGGAAGAGAGAAGATGACCGCCCGGATATTAGGAGACGAGATGATCGACGTCTTCCACCCCCGCCTCAAGGCCAATCATCTTCAAATTATAATCGATTCACTCCACTCAATACTCGCCTCACTGAAATACTTCATGTGATTGAACAAAAAGGTCTGGCAGAGCCTCCACGCCCAATGCAACCCAATGCGAAACGAGAAAGATCGGATCGCTATTGTCGATTTCACAAAGATAAAGGGCATACGACCGAGGAATGTGCGCAACTCAAATTGGCGATTGAGAGGTTGATCAAGCAAGGCCACTTGAGCGAGTACATTGATAAGCCTCGAAATAAGCGCCACGATGATCTTCCACGCCGAGATAACAATAGAGATCAACAGCAACGACGAGAGGAGGGGGGTCATCGGCGCGACCCAGATAACAATGATAACCAACCCACCCGAGGAATCATCTCCTTTATCTCCGGAGGACCGGCAGGTGGCGATTCACAAAACGCGAGACGCACCCTCGCTCGATCAGCACGTATGAATCAAGAACATGCTTCTCCATCCGCATCCGTCTATCAAATACGAAGACCTGATCATGGCATAGTCTTCAACTCCTCGGACCTTGAAGGACCAGATGAAGATCATGTCGATGCGTTAGTGATAACAGCAACGGTGGCCAACTTCATAGTTAAAAAGATATTAGTGGACGGTGGGAGCTCAGCCGACATTATGTATCTCCACACATTCAAGCAGCTAGGCATAGATAACGCCCGATTCAACCCCATCACTACACCACTGAAAGGATTCACGGGAGAAGGTGTTTTATCCATGGGGGAACTAGAGTTACCTATCTCCTTAGGGGAAAATCCTTGTCGAGTAACGAAAATGATAAAATTCCTTATCGTCGACAAACCATCCCCTTATAACATCATCTTGGGAAGGCCAGCGATCCATACATTCAAGTCTGTGCCTTCATCTTACCACCAAAAGTGGAAATTCCCCACTCCTTACGGGATGGGAGAGGTACTTGGAGATAGGCGCCTCGCTCGAGAATGTTATGCAAGAGCTCTACGTGAACCATCTAAGAGACCTAATCATTTAGGGAAAGGAGACGACACCCCGAGACAAGATAAGCGAAAATGGGTCAACGCGGTCATCGAAGCTGATAAAGAAATCCTAATCAGTGTACCCGACGACACCACCAAGCTAGCCGCAGTTGAAGAACTAAAATCAGTAGAACTCATACCCGGAGATAATTCTAAGCTTCTCCGCATCGGCTCTGATCTAGATCAAGAAGTGGAGAATCAGCTAGTTAACTTCCTTAGACACAATGGGGACGTTTTCGCTTGGAAAGCTCAAGATCTGACGGGAATTCCCTCCAAAGTAGCATTGCATCGACTAAACGTTGACAAAAGATTGAAACCGGTCAAGCAACGTAAAAGGACTTTCGGTCCTGAGCGCAACAAACATATCAAAGAGGAAGTGGCAAAACTCTTAGATGCAGGCCACATTAGATCGGTTCAGTATCCCGAGTGGTTATCCAATGTGGTATTAGTACCTAAACTCGGAGGCAAGTGGAGGCTATGTGTAGACTTCACCGACCTCAACAAGGCATGCCCGAAAGATCCTTTTCCCTTACCAAGGATCGACCAGCTCATAGACTCAACCTCAGGGTGCGAACTTCTCAGCTTCCTTGATGCATATCAAGGATACAATCAAATATTGCTCGCCCTAGAAGACCAAGAAAGAGCTAGTTTCATTACAGACCAAGGCATCTACTGCTATCGAGTCATGCCGTTCGGTCTCAAGAATGCATGAGCTACTTACCAACACCTAGTAAATACGATGTTCGCGGACTTGATCGGTAAAAACATGGAGGTATACATTGATGACATGCTCGTCAAGAGTTTTAAAGTCGCGGATCACCTAACCGATTTAAGTCAATGCTTCTCCATCTTACGCAAATACAAGATGAAGCTCAATCCCCTAAAATGTTCGTTCGGAGTTCGAGGCGGAAAATTCTTAGGGTACATGATATCACAACGGGGAATTGAAGCCAACCCAGCAAAGATTGAAGCTATCACCTCCATGGCCCCTCCCACTTCGATTAAGAAGGTCCAACAACTTAACGGTTGTTTGGCAGCCCTAAACCGATTTATATCTCGATCAGCTGATAAGGGTCTTCCTTTCTTCAAGATACTAAGAGGTGGGAAAAAGTTTGAGTAGAATGAGGACTGTCAAAAAGCTTTCACAGAATTGAAGGCATATCTCACTTCCCCACCTCTACTCACAAAGCCCCAACCAGGAGATACTCTCTTCCTGTATTTGGCTATTTCAGCAGATGCCATTAGCGCAGTGCTCATTCGGGATGGTGAAAAAGGTCACCAACCGATATATTACATAAGCAGAGCTCTCCAAGGCCCAGAGCACCGTTACACCAATATGGAGAAACTTGCTCTCGCCCTCATCAATGCAGCCAGAAAGTTACGCCCGTACTTCCAGTCGCACCAAGTGATTGTTCTCACTAACTATCCCCTTAAACAAATATTGAGAAGTCCCGAGACTTCCGGGTGATTAGCTAAGTGGGCTATAGAGCTAAGTGAATATGGGGTTGAGTTCAAACCACGCCCAGCCATCAAAGCTCAAATCTTAGCAGACTTTGTAGTAGAGATGACTACATCGGAGGAGAGCACCTCCATACCCACTTGGACTATCAATGTCGATGGATCATCTACCGCTACAGGGGGAGGCGCGGGTATTGTATTAACAAGCCCAGATGGAGACGAATTTGAGTATGCTCAACGGTTTGATTTCAAAGCCTCCAATAACGAAGCCGAATATGAAGCTTTGATCGTTGGTATCCGCCTCGCTTTAGCAGCTGGAGCTCGCAAACTCATAGTACACAGCGACTCCCAGTTAGTGGTCAACCAAGTCCTTGGGAACTATGAAGCCAAAGAAGAATCCATGGCAAAGTACCTTGCTCTTGCACTTACCCTCCTCTCAAAATTGGATAGCTACGAGATAAAGCAAGTACCACGAGCCAACAATATTGATGCAGACAAGTTAGCTAAACTTGGAAGTTCCATGGCAAGCATTGGAAGCCGGAAAATCACCCTTCTCACGTCTTCCCAACCAGAAATAGTCTCCACCGACGAAGTGAATTGCGCTGAAGAGAGCGAACCTTGTTGGATCACCCCCATTACAAACTATCTCAAAAGCGGGGAACTTCCGACTGACATCGCCCAAGCGAAGAAAATAAAGGTAAGGGCGGCCCGTTTCCTAATGATAGGTGAAGATCTCTACAAGCGAGGGTTCTCCTTCCCCTATCTTAAATGCCTTAACCCATCAGCAGCAGACTATGTGCTTCGTGAAGTACACGAAGGCATTTGTGGTAATCATTTAAGTGGAAGAAACTTAGCTCTCAAAATATTGAGACAAGGTTACTATTGGCCCACCATGCATGAAGATGCGAAAAAACTAGTGCGGAGATGCAAGCCTTGCCAAGAACACGCTAACATCCTCCATCTCCCAGCAGCACCGATGCAACCGATTGACAGTCCCATACCTTTCGCTCAATGGGGAGTTGACTTGGTTGGTCCTTTTCCACCAGCAACAGGAGGACGCAAGTTCCTCATTGTAGCTGTAGATTACTTCACCAAGTGGGTAGAAGCAGAACCTTTAGCTCGCATTCGAGAAGAAGACGTCATCCAATTCCTTTGGAAGAACATCGTGTGCCGTTTCGGCATTCCCCGTTCCATTATTTCGGACAATGGAACACAATTTTGTGGAGACAAAGTCAAGAGTTGGTGCCTTGGCTTATCTATTAAGCAATTCTTCACTTCGGTTGCTAACCCCCAAGCAAATGGTCAAACGGAAGTAACCAATCGCACAATACTTCAACATCTCAAGACAAGGCTGGGAAGTGCCAAGGGAAAGTGGGTTGAAGAATTACCCAATGCTTTGTGGGCATATCGAACAACCCCACGAACAGCAACAGGAGAATCCCCATTTAACCTAGCTTTCGGAACAGAGGCTGTGGCACCCGTCGAGATTGGCGAACCCTCTTGGAGAGTCATCAATTATTCACAAGAGGCAAATGAAGAGGAAATGAGAGCTAACCTCGATCTCGTCGACGAACTAAGAGAGATTGCCTCCGTCCGACAGCAAATGTACAAGAGTCGCATGGCGAAAGCTTATAACTCCAAAGTCCGCCCTCGCTCTTTCCAAATAGGGGATTTAGTTCTCCGCAAAGCCGAAGCCTCACGCCCAATCGGTAAACTCGACCCGAAGTGGGAAGGACCATATAAAATTACGCAACTGGTCAACAATGGAGCATATCATCTCGAGAACCTCGACGGACACCCTATACCCAGAACCTGGAATATAGGGAATCTCAAAAGGTTCTACGCTTGAGGCTTCACAACCTTCCATGTCTCTCCTCCTACAAGAATGTCTCTAAAAGCCCGAGAAGGGGCTCCATAACGAGATTGGGAGTCAATTACGAAAGGATGCCGACCGCCCACCACTCGCCCAGAGAGAGAAGATACTCCGTACTACCTCACAAAGGGCAGGGTCGCGCAGCAATTCGCCACAACTCATGAGTTGATCTCGTATCTCGGAATGCGAGAAACATAGATAGTCCCCATATTGGGCATAGAGACACCAAAGACAGTAGACATACTACCCATACACCAAGTACGGATGAGCACAAGGAAGACGTGGAAGAAGAATAAAACTCTTATAGTTACATAGATTACTTTTCGATATTTCGATTTATTTGTTTTTACGATTTATTTCACTTCGCCTCACGGAGGCTTATGACATTTCGCATTCCCTATTAATGATTAAATCTAGTTTCTACTTTACTATCAAAGTTGTTGTTCATATATTACTTAACCGTTACAACGGGTTCATCTCATTCCAACCCTACAAACACTTAGAGAAATTAAGATAATCCACATAGCCTGGCCAGCTGGATTATCTGAATCTTTCTATGTTGATTTACAGGGTCTTCATATTTAAAACGTGGCCATGGACTAAACAATACTCCGACCTACGAGGTCCAAAACAAAGGGCATGATCCCAAAAAATAAAAAAAATCTTGAGAGACTGATCCCCTCATCAAGAATATCTCGAACAATGCTATATGCAAAACATTAGTGCGAAATCAATAAATAAGAAGAAACAATAACTTTGATAGAAAAATCAACGTCTCAAGGTGCGAACAAATATCAAGTCATGAAGCATGCAAAAATACTAGTGGGCATACCCACTCAATAAAAATAAAAAAATAAAAATAAAACCAAGTCTTTTTCTAAGGAAAATAAACATAACATCACACCAAACTACACTTTACGAGCAGAAGTAGCTTCGGTAGTTCGGTCATCCGCTTCCGCATCCGAGGCAATTTCAGTACACTCGACATCAATATCCTCTCCATCATCTGGAATGTCCTCCTCCATGCCTCGAATAATCTTCTCGTCAATACCACCTACCTTGCGTAAGTACTGACGACACGTCCTAACCAAAGGAGCATAAACCCCAGCTATTGCTCGTTCTTCGATCATAGCTCGACAGACTTCACTCTTCTGAAAACGACGTTCCCCTTCTAACATAACCGACTCCTTGTAAGCAGCTCCAGCTGAGGAAGCCAAAAACCTCTTCCCCGTAAACTTCTCGGCATCATACTTCTCCTTCAGCTCATCATAACACCGATCTAGTTTCGTTAGCTCAATTTTACTCGCCTCGGTCTCGCTCCTACTAATCTCCAATTCGTCGGTCCTCTGAATGAGCAAAGTCTCGGCCACTTCTAGTTTGGACTCCGCTGCCTCCAACTGAGCCTTTAGCTCTTTCTCCCTTGCCTCCCAACCAGCACGCTCTTCATCATTGTTTTTCTCGACTTGCTCCTCCTGCTCCATAAGATACCTCCATATAGCTATAAGCTATATCAAAATTCAAACAGATAATATTAGATTATCGAAACTTATAATTTAAAACGCAAAAAAAAAAAAAAAAAAAAAAAAAAAATTTACCCGACACATGTCTCCTCCAGCCAGCGAAAGCATATGAGCACGACCTTTACCCGACATCCGACTTCGGTCATACTCCCCAACAAAATCCTCGGTCTTCCTCAACGCGATACTATGATCGGTCGTATCCCACAAAGAATCCTTTCCCTCTCGGTTCACCCCGTACGTGAACAGGCATTTGCCTGCACCCCGTGGAGGCACATGAGAAACCTCAGGATCCACTCGAGGCCGTTTCGGTGCAGGCACATACTCGATCTCAACCAACTCATCCTTCCCATTATTAACCGCTCGATCCAGCTCCTCCCCCTCAACATTATGATTACGATCATCTCCCCTCACATGCGAAGCCTCCACGCGGGTCACTTCGCGCGATTTGCTACTACTCGATTTCGCTTGCTTCAAAGGATCCCTCTTCGCTTGCTTTTTTGCACCTCCAGTAGCCTTCTTCCGAAGAGCCGCGAAATCAATACACCCATCTAAAAAAAAAAAAAAAAATCATTTACTCACGGATAAAATAGAATAGCAGAGACAACACAAAATAAGGCACATATGGATAAAACATGTAGACTACACGCAACGGTGTAGGCACCTGACCCTTTGGAATAAGACAACTCGGATCGAACTCCAAAGCACACAACCCCGACTCCTTAATACGTTTCTTCATATTCTTCGTTATCTTAAAAGATTCGCATACCGGATTCCAAACAAGGGGAACATCGGACGTCGGAGCCCTTACATAAAAAAATAAAGTACTCCATTTATCCCACTTCAAGTTAATGCTCTTCAAAAATTTTAAAGGAACCCGAGGATGTGTGCAAAAGAAGGGTAAATCACTTGAACGATGTAGGGTAAACAAGGCTTTGAACATCTCAACACTAATCGGTAATCCTACTTCGATCATTCTTTGTCGAAAAGCTTCGAACGTCAGAATCACGTTCGGTGTTAATTGACTATATCCTACCCGAAATTCTTCACATATCTTCAAAAGAGTGGAGTGAGGCACAATCTGCGAGGAACATGTCAAATACGCGACGTATTGGGTATGGAACCCTACGGGGGGTGCATACAATCGTTCACCTTTTTTAGGTAAGAGCATCTCAATATTCCTCGGAGCCCCAACTAGCTGACGAAGAATACCGAATTGAGATTCGGTTAACGAAGTATCATAGTCCACCAAACTCAAATTAAGTGGTTTTATTTTCTTCCCTCTATTTTTATCTATGATGACATCTTCTCGGGGAATATCATTGTTGGGCGAAAACCTACACGCAAGTGCACGTATCGTACAAGTAATATAGTGGACAATTAAGTCCGGATATCGAACCCACAGGGAATATTTAATTATCTAATCCTAGACGCTAAATTCTACCAATTATTATCAAGCCCACCCTACACAGTCGAATTTTAGAGAGAATTAACTAAATTAAACTAAATTAAAAAAGCAAGCAAAAGTAAGAAACAAATTAAGCACGAAGACTTATCAGAGTAAACAAGCCTAGGATTTTATTCTTCCCCCTATGTGATTATTATTCCCCCAATTCCTTCAATCATGCAAGCAATTAACCCGGATTATTAACCTGAGATGCTAAAATAATCATAACCCGCTTCCGCGTGTATTATGATTCTAATACTCTAGATTCAATTACTATATTCCTATGCAATTAATTCTAGAACACAGCATTAAGCACAAATCTCAATAATGGCTACCTAAGAGATTAACTATATTCCTATGTTAATACCACAAAGGCTCTTCTACCACAGTTCTAATTATTAACCCGATCTTCCGATTCATGCGATTAACAATAACATAAAAGCACATAAGTTGATCAAGTTCATGCACTTAATAAAACAAGCAGAAGAAATAATCCGGAATTAAAACTTGCATAAAATCATAGAATTGGGTTCATAAATCCCACATAGGGTTCCAAATAAAATCCTAGAAATAAGAAAATTAGCTACTCATGATTAAAGGAAAAACGCAAATAAAATAAGTCATAAACGATAAATCTATGCTTAGAGTCTTCGAATTCTTCGTCTTCGTTATTGCTTTGTTGCTCTCGAAATTGCGTAAAAAGATGGATCCCCAATTGTGTGCTTGGCTTGGTCTTATA